AGTGTGGGAAATTCTTCTCACGGCTGTCTTATCTCACTGTACACTACCGGACTCATTCGGGAGAGAAGCCCTACGAATGTAACGAGTGTGGGAAAACCTTCTACCTGAACTCAGCCCTCATGAGACATCAGCGAGTGCACACCGGAGAGAAACCGTACGAATGTACCGAGTGTGGGAAACTCTTTTCTCAGCTGTCGTACCTCACTATACACCACAGAACTCATTCAGGAGTGAAACCGTATGAATGTAATGAGTGTGGGAAGACCTTCTACCAGAACTCAGCCCTCTGCAGACATCGGAGAATACATAAAGGAGAGAAGCCCTACGAATGTTATATATGTGGAAAGTTCTTCTCCCAGATGTCGTACCTCACCATACACCATCGAATTCATTCAGGAGAGAAGCCCTATGAATGTAATGAGTGTGGTAAAACCTTCTGCCAGAATTCAGCCCTTAACAGACATCAGAGGACACACACAGGAGAGAAAGCCTATGAGTGTTACGAGTGTGGGAAGTTCTTCTCTCAGATGTCCTATCTCACCATCCACCACCGGATCCATTCGGGAGAGAAGCCCTTTGAATGTAATGAATGTGGAAAAGCCTTCTCTCGGATGTCATACCTCACTGTACACTATAGAACTCATTCCGGAGAGAAGCCCTATGAATGTAACGAGTGTGGGAAAAAATTCTACCACAAATCAGCCTTCAATAGCCATCAGAGGATTCACAGGAGAGGGAATGTGAATGTACTGGATGTGGGGAGGCTTCTCTGAAGTCGGAGAACCTTTCAGTGTGGGAGTGGGAGACGCCTGCCGACGTACGTCAGAGCTCACACGGGTGTTGTGCACAAGCCTTTGTGTTACTCAGACTTGAAGCCTGAAAGTTCACAGGGTAGAAACTACAACTGTAACAAGACCACAGGACTTACCGGATACCAGACTATACAGGCGTAAAAACTGATACGTATTTAGAATGTGTATGCACTTCACCGTGGACTCAAACTTTCGTTTTACACATCAGGGAATTCATACCAAGGGAAAAATCTCTCAATTTTAAGGAAGGTGGGAAACCTGCTCCTTTGGAAATTATTGATATTAAATGTTATGTTTCTGATGTAGTATCAAGCTTCTTAAAAGCAAAAGTACAGACGATAAAGATACTTGTGTAAATAGAAGCTGTAAAATCAGCTGACAGTAATCAAGACCACAGCATAGCAACCTCTCACTCACACGGGAGTGGTTCCTGGGAATGTAGGACTTACGTTCATTTGAGGGATTTTTGGTTTGTCTGCGTGCTTTTTAGGATGCTACATTACAGGAAGTGTATGTTCAGTTTGAATCATGTTTGAAAAGCCATTGTATCTTTATTAGAATGATTTGTAGACATGGTAAGATTATCCATTTTAAATAGCTCCGCCTTGTTAGTATCCTGATACCCTGGTACCGTCCCTGAACTAACATCTGATAGTCTCAAGTACTTCTTGTATTCTTGCCTGGCATTTATGAATGTCTTTGATCATTGTTAATGAATGAAGTCTTCTGTAAAGAAGCCAATGTTTTAATAACATGTTCAGCTGTATCTGAGTCAGCAAGAGTTAGAAATCTACGCATATGATAGAAAAGTGCTTAGATAATTTTAAATTGCTAATGCCAGACTTTTCCAGTAGTAAGAAGCGCCGGTAGTACTCATTGTACTCTATACAGTAACATTTACTTAAAATATTTAAGTACTTAAGATATTCCCATTTATATCAGTTTTTTTCCATCTGTTTTATTTGGATGCTTACAGAAGTGTGCAGAGCACACATACTATGTAATTTAGGAATTACCTGTATTTTTATTTGATAGGATAGTATTTTTAAATATTGTGCTCTGCTCCTTCCTTCCTGAATGAAGAATTCTTCCTGTGGGTTTGGGGCAGACACTGTTGAGTGACCCTGGTCACTCCTTACTGTTCGCTGGTGGAATTTGGGGATCCATTCTTCCTTGTGGAATGGGGGGGGAATCCTGACTAGTTTCAACCATATTGTGATAATCCCTTTCTCACTGCCAGCAATTGGTTTAGAATGGTCACGGGACCCAGTTCTATTCAGATAAATAGAGATATCTGACAGGTTATTTCTGGAAAAGGTTCCCTCAAAGATTCAAGGAAGGAGTCCTGCAGGGTGAAGTAGAGTCTTTAGTTGAACATTGCCTTCACGGCATGTGATGCCTGGTTGTGTCTTTCAACGCTGAATTAGAATTTAAGCATGGCAGAACAGAAAGACTGGGAGAACCTGGGACCTGGACGATGTGGAGCCACTGAACCAACCAGCCGTGTAGCTTGTCCACCTCTGGACTGTTGCTTCTGGAGGAGACGAAATTTACTTTGGAGCCAGTTGATTTCGGTTGCTCTGGTAGGGACAGCTGAAGATAGAGTTACACCTTCGTAGGAATTATGCAATGGAGAAGTGGACTTCAGGTAAATCACTTATTTAGAAGTACTGATTGAGTTTGGTCTTATTTTCTGTAAGTTTTGATGTAAATAGTTTGAGCACTACAAATCAACTTGAAATAATTAAATGTATATGTTTCCTCGAATGGTTACATCATTGACCTTAGAGCCTGATAACAATGTCAGATACACCTTCCTTTTTACAATGCATGACATTAAATTTGTTCAGGTTAATTTATGTTATTCATGGATCATCACTCCACTGTTGGTTCACAGTGTATGGTGTGGAGGTAAGGACCTTTGCTTTCCAGTGATCAGCCCGAGAGCCTATATTTGAATAACAGCCCTGCCCACTGAGGTGAAATGCCGTAATTTTTCATGTATTTGAATCATTCATGGAACCCGTTTTTGTTGCTCAGCACTTTCCCTCCATATTCTTCTAGCAGATTGTGAGTATGCTTCATGACCGGAATGAAAAGTCTGTTAGATCATATAGTTTGTGTAGGAAAATATATTCATGGTGTATTTGTTGAAATGATAGCTACAAAGATTTCCCACAGTAGTTTGTCCTCATAGCTTAAATACACAGTATGCATTTTAAGTAAAATATTTAAAAAGTGTAAATGGTTTACAGCATTCTTTCTCATGGAGTGCCTGTGCGTGAAAGGGCCTGGCGCACAGACGTGGTCCTGAACTGCGTCTCTGATGACATAGTGACAGGATTTGTTCGTAGTCGCAAAGCGGTCAGTGTTTTCTTATTACATCTGAGTGGGCTCAGTGGCATGTTCTTCTTTAACGATACTGTTTTTCTTCTTCCCTAGAGGCACTTAAAATAAGTTTGTCTTAAATTTGATGGAATGCAGTATTTGAAAAGTTTCTGTTCCTGGCAAGCGTGTAAGATACACAGGCCTGAGTTCATGAGGGAGAGCGCTAGAGAGACGTCTGCTTCCCTGTCCTGCAGCAAGGACCAAACGTGGAATTGGGGCAGAGCGTGAGTTCTTGTGTGTTACACACAGTGACCTGATAAAATTTGGAGTGTGAGCAGATGATGAACTCTGAGAGTGGTTTTCAAGGGCTGAGCAGAAGGAAGACCCTTCCTGGCAGGTGGACATGTGAGATTCCCCTAGTTTTTTTCTGTTGTCCTCAAGTCAGTGAAGCAGTGTCAAATAGGTCAGATCGAAGATATGTTAACACCAGGGCCCTGTCCTCTCAGAGACCCCAGAGTCAGCCTCTTCTCTGTTCCATGGCCGTGTGCCTGGCTGTGCTATGCAGTTAAGCTCCCCAGGGAAGGCTGGATAAGCCACACGACTACAGCCCAGATAACTGCCCACTTTATAGAATGCCTGCAAATCAAGCAAATTCCTTTTCCTTTTCATCATAGAGATGGCTGCATCACAGATAAATTACTTTTCCCTTCCCTGAATGTAAAGTCTGTGATTCCTGCCAAACTGATGAACTAGCCTGGGCTGCTGACTCGTTCCCAGATTCCAACTCTGGGGCTGCCGGAGAAGTAAGAGCAGTTTGCGGGTCCAGGGAACTGCAGTGGGGGGGGGGGGGCCCTGGGGGAGGTGTGAGCAGCCAGAGACACTAGAGGGGCAGGTGCTGGGGAACTTTGGGATTGGAGTCTCCTACACTCTCCTGCTCTCCACTGTAGTGTCCCAAGCACATTCTTGCCCAGCACGGTGCCTTCATGAAATAGAAAGCAGGTGCACCAGCTCCATGCAGCTGGGATGAGGGCTGCACACAACACACACATGCCTGGAGCAGCCTCTTCTCACTCCACGGCCAAGTCCTCACAGTAAGTAGGCACATGTTTCTGGATGGAGGAGAGGATCCATCAGGAGGGGGGTTCCTCCTGGCTGGGGGTGGGCTTTCTCTTCTGTAGTACATCGGTCTGCTGAAGCCACGCTGCTACCTGTTATCGTCCTGGAGTTGCAGATACCCAAGCGAAAATTAATGCTGGAAACAAACGTAGGAGTTACTAAGAGCACACCATACGTCTCCACAACTGGCAAACTTAATGGGATGTAAAAATCCAGATTTCAAAATTGTCTTACAAGACATCCTTTAAAAAAAGTATATTGGTTGTATGAAGCAGGAACAGTTACTCCAAAAGAGGGGGCGGGGCATGGACACGGCCAGAGACCCAGACAGTGGGCTGTGTGGTAACAGGAGCTGTTCGCCCAAGATGCCAGGAAGGAAGGAAGGGATGCATGTGAAAACAAAACACTGAGGCCAGAAGACAGTGGACCTAATACCCGTATCCTGGGGTTCTTAAGACAGGGTGGGAAAAAAATTATGAATTAAAAATTTCTCTGAATTAAAAAACCATGAAATTATAAAAGGGGCTTTTGTGATGCCAAATGGAAAGGTACAGAAAAATCTACAGTCTATAAAGCAAAATTGTTTAAAGACCAATAACTAGGGCGCCTGGGTGGCTCAGTTGGTTAAGCGACTGCCTTCGGCTCAGGTCATGATCCTGGAGTCCCGGGATCGAGTCCCGCATCGGGCTCCCT